TGGTGACTTTAGTTTTTGAAAACTGAAGTTGAGCAGGAAAAGTAAATTTAGTTTAAGCTAAGGATAAATTTACTGGAGGAAAAATAACCCCAATGTTTTTTTTAAAAATGCAAAAACAGCAACCAATTTCCTATATATATTTAACTTTTTTCAAAACATATGTTTAAAAAAGGCTTTTTACAGTGTTCTACTATCCCTCTGTATTTAAATTTTTTTTTTTAATGGAAGGCATTTAAGAGTTGTGTATCACACATGGGTGATAGATTATTAGGTAATAAATTAATATAAAAGTAATGCAAATATTTAAAAAAAAAAATACAATCATTAAATAGAAAAATATGAGACGAAGGTGTGAGAAATAACAAAATGTGAAAATAATCACATCAGAAGAATGTAATGTCACATTTCAGCGTGACGTCTTGTTAAGTCTGTCAAATAAAAGCAGAGACGGATTCACTGTTCACATTGGGACAGATAGATATGATTCACAAAACCCCCAGCGACTTTGAAGCCCTGATGGCTCCCTCACCGGCGCCTGGTGTTACAACACTGCATAAGAAATTATATGCAAGAGGTGTATTTGAATATTCATGACCAAATCCATCGGCTGTTTGTACTGTAGCATTAATTAATTGCTTGAGGGGAAGCCGAACCCAAATACGGAGCTGAAGCGCTCGGTGCTGAAACGCAGCAATCCCAAAGAAAGAATTATAAAGTGAGAAATGTGTAACCAGCGAGTGCTAACACAGTACGAATCTTTCAAATGGCACGGCAGGGAAGGATTTTTACAAATTTATCTAACAATTAACAGACACCCGCAACACTGCTTTAGACTTCTGAGGCTGAAATAAAGTCTCAGATTCTGTATCGCTGTCTTGAACCAAACTCTCTCTTTGTTTAGGATTCCACGGATACATATGTGCCGTTAAAAATGTATGAATATTCAGGAGGGAAGATGGCTAAAGAGTCCCAATCATCTCCTACACAGTTGCTCTGGCAGTTAAAAGAGAGCCGCTGAGAGGAGTTTCACTGTGAGAGACATTAGCATGCCTTTGAAACAAGAGACCTTGTGTACGAACAAGGGCTATCCATACACACTTTGGAATGTAATTTATATGCACAAACTGAGGTGTGAGGCCAGAGGATGTTAGAGGGGCAGAAAGGATCCACTCAATACAGGTGTAGCTTTCACTGGCCAACAATGTAATAACAGTTTTTCTACTGCCAGCGCCTCTTTGCACATCAGTGGGTTCCTCTGAACTTGCAGACTTCATTGGAAACAATCTGAGCGCAGAGAAAGACGAGGCATATAGATAATTGGATGCTGCGCTTGTACTTTTTTGTATCTCCTCTGTGATCTTTAAGGAATACGTCGCCTCATCAAAGAGATTTTTGTTTTAATGCTTGGAGCTCGGCGTCGATAAATGTGTAGATTCTCAACTGTTTGTTTGACGACCCGAGTTACTTTTTTGTGCCACTGCCACCGGTGACCTATGTGCTCCACTCTCTGAATTATGCATGGTGATTATACGACGTAGTCCTCTGAATTGTAAATTCTGACAATTATACAGCCCATTGTCTATTCATTATTTCAAAACGAATGGGAAATTATGTAAAACTATCTCTAAAGAGGAAAGCAGCGTGTAATATGACTTGCCATATTGTTCATGCAATTCAAATACTTTGCTTTTTCTGAGAGTTGAAAGTAATCAGATTTAAATGAAATCTGACTTGCATGCCATGCGGGATTATGATACATTTGGAAGATAAGCTATGATAACTACACTACGCGCCATGAGGTGAGAGCACTCGGGCAAAGAGTGTTTTCCAATTAACTCAAACCTCCCTCAAGGTTAAATATACAAGTGTTGACTAAGAGCTGAACTTACTGTGTCTTCTTTTCTTGACCAGATGAGTGACGGACTTCAACGTGTCTCTTTCTGCTTCTCTCTGGACTTTCTTTTTTGATCCCTTCCCACACATATCTTAAAAACACATATTGTATACTTCCAAAGATGCCAAAGCTACTATTGTTTTCATTACATAAATTTTTAAAATCAGTTTTCGTAACATTCACTTGTGACGCATATACAAGGAAATACGTACATCTGTGTTGTTTTATCATTTTATTTCTTTGCTGATTTATTTGATATTTTGGCGTTTGAAGTCATCCGTAAAAGGCTGACGAACAGGACATGATGCATTGTGCAGATTTGCTTGGAAAGCTGCACTTTTCCCAGCAGGAAAACACTGTATCAGTGTCACAACATAAGACTCAAAAGATAAGCTGCATGAATTTGAAAGATAAGCTCATTGTATCAGATTGTTTTGAGCATTTCATTACACCACTTTAAATTTCAGATTAGAAAAACTTTTTTTTTTGCACCTTGATTTAATAATGAAGTGAGAGAGAGACAGGAAAGTGGGGGAGAAGAATGGGGGGAGGACATGTGGGAAAGGGCCATGAGCAGGATTCAGACTCATGACCTCCACATCGGGACTGTAGCCCTGCACATGGGACGACAGCCCAACCAGGTGAGCTATACCGGCGCCCCAGATTAGAAAAACTTTAAAGTTACAGTACGCAGGTGATATTTCTGTGAGCCTAAGATTTTAAAATTATGCAAAACAGAAAGAAGCAGAGTTATTCTCCCCTTTCTGATTAAATAAGCTGAAAATTGTTTGAAGCATCTGGCATATGGATCAGTTCCAGCGTATTCTGGGCCTTAAACGTAACCAAACTCAGAGCCAGCAGTCACCTACCCTGAACTTAAAATGCGTTTTCCGTCAGGAGGCCCCTAACTTTGAAACAAGCGCTTTGTTTTTTAAATTCATTCTTCCACCTCAGTGACTTCCTTTAAGTCCCTACTTTAATTTTTATGCACGTGTATCTTTGCATTAATTGCTCTTTTACACTTTTCTCCAGAGATTTTTTTTTCTTTTCTTATTGTTCCCTGACTGTGCTGTTTGCAGCTTTGCAGTGCAGAATGACGCACATCCAGAGTTGATACTGGAAGACTGTTTCTGTCTCTGTTCTCACCTTGAATCTTAGTTTAAGACATGTAAGTAGGATTTTGCAACATCTAATTAACAGCTCAACTAGCAAAGAGCGAGTTGTGCTGCCATGTGTAACTTGTGATGTGGAAAGCTGAAGCCTCCAGTGTAAATACATAGAGAATGAGCATTACAGTGAAATACAGTAGAGGACTTGTATGCGTCTAATAGTTAACTGAAAGGTTTCAGCTGAGCAGACAAATGATTTTAATGGGGGAATTCATTTTTTGAGCAAAAAGATACAAACTAATATTCAAAGCAGAATATTTTATACCTCTCAAAACATATCTGAAAAGGAATCTTTGCCTTCGTCTTTGTATTATTCTTTGTTCTGTTCTGTCAGAAGTTTTCCATTCAGATTTTTTTAATGCGTGGCCTCTGTCATTGGTTGCATTATGTGCAGGACTTGCAGCGAGACCACTTCTTCCCCTTCCTCCTCCTCCTCCTCCTCCTCCTCCTCCTCCTCCCCCTCCTCTGGAAGTGTTACCCTCTCATCCTCCATCTCTCCTCATCCGCTATTCTCCTCCTCACCTCCTGCTGCACTCCATCCCTCTGCTGAGCACAGGTATTTGTTTAGGAATCTCTCAGTGGAAATTATACTCCATCTCCGGCGCTCCCTATCAACACACAATTATCATGGGCAATCATGCAGAACAGTGCTGAATTCAGCTGGGACTCCCACTCTGATGACATTACTGACTGCAAGGCCCATCTTCTGCTGGAGGTAGCCTTCTCCACACCTGCATTATACCTCTCTCTCTCTTTTTTCCCCCTCTCTCTCTCTCTCTTCGTCACACGCTCTCTCTTGGATATGGATAGAGAAATGATTAAACATTTTTTTTTATCTTATTAGGATTTCATTTAAACCAGGAAGTCCACCCGATAAGAAATCTCTTTCCTAGGGGAGACTTGGCTGAAAGGGCCGCTCCGACCTCAAACAGGACAAATCCTGCGATCTTATCTTACGATTTATTAGCATCTTCCCACCTATGTGGCCTCCTCCTGTGACCTGCAGCTTTTTTTTTTCTTCTTTTTTTTTTGCCTCGGTGTAGCTTCTGACGTGGCTCAGTGTGAGCACAGTAAATTGAAAATTCAGAAATTTGGAAGTGTGAATCTCCATCATTAGATTTTCCTGTGAAGGCAAAGTCAATCACAGAAAATAATCAATGCCTTACACTGTGTCCCCCTCTCTCCTGCATTCTGAGTCAAACCGCAGATGCATTTCCCTATGTATGATAAGTACATTATAAATCTTGAAAGGCACGGAGTTGATGCCGACACATGAGAATCAACACAAGAGTCCATTCAGATCCTGATCAAATGCTCCATTCATGAGTGAAATTACCATCCGTCTGTCAGCCAAGGTGTGAATTCTTTCATCTACAGATCCTACCTCTGAAGTTGTGATTAAATGCATAACGCCACATACACTCCACATAGACTCAAGATAAGCAAAAATGGGATTTCTTCCTCTCAGGCTGCAGGTTGACGTGGAAATCGAGTGAGACAGCAGTGCCATCTTGTGGTACTTGAACTGAATATTTTATATTTTTCCAGACATTTGATGCTATTTCACAGAAAAACTGTCCCTACAGTATCACAAAATAAAAGAATGAGAGGCTCCTGAGATGCAAAAAGGATCAATTTATTCCCCCTGCACAGGGTTTGTCCTGATTGGTCAGTGCTTTTAGTCTCATAGCTTTTTTATGTGTCTTACATTATAGCATGTACAGTAACTTGTGATCTCAATGGCCCTTTTTCCCAATGTTTTTTTTGCATTGGGTCACCTTCTACATGAAAGGGATATCAATTGATTCTTTTTGCATCTTAAGTTCCTCCTCTACCTCGTCTTTTCTTGAAAAATGGGACTGTTAATTTTGACAGGTGACGCTATCTTGAGACAAGCCTGGTTTCAAGGGCACAAACCTGATCACAATGCCTTGTTGCAATGACAGCATAATTTATTTCACACATTAAAAGCCTTCACCTCGTCCTTTTAATGGCAAACACCAACAAAAAAAAAAAAAATTGTCATTTATTTGACAGACATGATGTTATGTACTCACAACACACTTGAAGAGAGCGATAATAGAAATGCATACAACACAAATGTTACAGCATTATTACGAAATTGTTGCTTTATTTAGAAACATAGCAGCCTGAACTGAACCACTAATCTGGTCAAAGTGGAGCAATATGACCAAGAAACTGTACAGTTTTCAGCTATGTACACAAACAGCAAAGTAATACTGCAGAAAAAAAAGCAGAAAATATACATGATACACTCAGGAAATATGAATATTAGGTTATATTGTGGGACCAATTGATGATATTCTGCATTCTTGTTATTGTTAGCAAAAAAGATTCAAATCAAAAACGAATTGACCGATCTAATAAATGTTTTCTGTGTATCCAAAGCCCATTTAAAAACACCAAAAAAAAGAGCAACACAGGTTTATTGGCTGACATTCAGTTATTATAATGAACATGTGCACTGTGGTTTAGTTTGAGTTGATACACATATGCTGCCCTGCTGTTGTAAATACTCACCAGAATGCCAAATGTGTATTAATACACAGCCAATAATCCAAACCCCAGATGAAATTATTTTAAAAATTGAAATGATGTATTTGTGACCTGTTTAAAACAATCACAGCATCATTATACATTAGTATGCCACAGAAAAAGTTGTGACATTGAGAGAGTCAAGATGTTCGGGTTTAGTTTTTTTGTTTTTTGTTGTTGTTGTTACATTTATGGGCAATAGCACAAATACAGAACATATTCGGCCTACGTGTTAAACTGAATGCAGAAAAGACAACTGTCCAGGCGTTCTTTCCAAAGTCACTTACTTCCATTACTGTATATACAGAATATAAAAATAATCATGCCACCTTGCAGGCTTTTCATTATACACTTCTTTTTTTAGATTTTTTTTTACAAACTCTATACAAAACAGAATATATATTTAAATCATTCCTTCAAAGCGTTTGCAGTCTTTTTACGTCATATCCCAAAAGCAAACAAGGTAATTCAATTAACAACAATTTCTTCACCAACATTTTACTTCTGGTAACTTTAAATTTAATGTACATACATTCTGAACTCTTGTAACCGCCGAAACGCGAGATTCAAATAAATATTTGCTCCACAGGTATTTATATAAAATCAGGTCAGAGTGCTGTTTCACTGCTGTGTGTAACTACATTGAAACTAGCTCAGGTTGAAGTCATCATGACGCCATTTCTGAGCCCAGCAATGGACGAAACGTGTTCAAGCTTGTCAGATCATTTATACCACAGAGCTGCCAAACAGAATCTACAGAGTCCTGCTTTTACACAGCAGTAAACAGTACAATCTGACTGTAAAAGATGCTCGTATTCCAGACATTTTAATCTCCATCCTCTAACCTGCTGCTGCTTTAGATCAGTGGTAGCTAATCTGGATGGTTCGGCCAATGAGGAGGAAAAGAAGGCCGGCCAGGAAGCAGAAGAAGATACCAACGGGGGCAAACATAAAGGACAGACCGTAGGTGAGGGACAGATTGAAGTCTGGACACACTGAAGATCGCTGGTGGTCTATGTAGACGTCTACCACGTCCAACACCTGCACCCACAGTACGTACATGATCACCACACACAGCAGGAAGAGACCTGGTGGTGGAAGAAAAATGCAATTTAAGTAAAGAGAAGAGACTGTGGTGCTTGAAACTCATTCAAATACTTTTGATCTGACCCAATGTATTGAAAACACACAAAGTTTTGGGAGAAGTATTCAGATCAAAGGGTGTAGGTTACCATTAACAGTGCAATAAAAATTAAAAATGAATTGTATAATCAGGTAAATATGCTTGCAAATCACCATTAAAGGTACTTTTTCTTCAGAAAACTGTTCCCTGTAACTGACATATTACCACAAATGGCATTATTAGGTTGCTTTTGCATCAGTCGGTAAGCAGAACTTTACACATTTACTCTCAAATGATCCAATAGATTGCATTTTAAAGGCTTATTATATGTTTTGAAGGTAAAATGATATTCTGAAAGGTTGCCAGTAACTACAGCTGTCAAATCAATGCAGCGGAGTACAAGGTTTCCATACGAAATTTAATGGAAGAAAAGTCTGATGTGCACTTTCATGTAAGAACGTGTATTTTTTTCCTCTCTACTGCTGGTTTTTACTCACCAGATGTCAGGAAAAGTCCTCCCCCTGTTTTATACAAGCGGTGGCTGGCAAACGGAGCAGCACAGATGATGAAGAAGCCACCGAGAGCCACAGCTGCCACTCCGATGAGCATAAAGATGCTCCAGAATCCCCTGTAGACTGGACAACAGAGATGTTGTACACAGAGTCATTGGATCAGAGAGGTAAATAATGAAATGATTGTATTAAAAGACAAATGTAGGCAAATACTCACTTATGGCAGAATCATACTCTGTGGCATTGTGGGTCTGATGGGACACGGGGAATGGGAAGAGGTAGGCAGGCATGCATACTTTTGAGTGAGCCTGGTTTGCTGCAGAGAGAAAGACAAAATGTATTTTTGCACTACAATACATGCAAACAAGAATGGTCTGGATACAGCCTGCAAAAGAAAGATGGACTCATGAAATATTGCAAAACTACCGCTGGGATTTTTGTTGTTTATTTTCTCTGTTGGAGACTCTAACCACAATCATGTTTTACTTGGCAACAAGTCTTTCATGGGGCTAAACTTAACTAAACTGACAAATGATGTGATAAATGTGTACTCTTTCTCTTTAGTTTTTTGTTTCTTTATCCTCTCTCTACTCTTTTCTCTGTCTCTTCTTCTAACATGTGAAATTCCACAGACCCTCACAAGGTCCTTTCATTGCTAGAGGCTGTTTCTGACAATGGCCACCCATTCAAAGTCCCCATCAGAAAATAGATGACACACAATCACCTGACAAACAGACAGAATAACATCACATGGTGCCGCCTTAAAACAGTCACATGGGAGGCGATTCTGCTGCGATGACGTCAGACAGTTTATCAAACATGAGTGCAGCAAATTAAAAACTGACATTTATCCTGCAGCAGAGCCGTATCATGCTTCGACTTCTATGTGTTCTAAAACATTGTTTTCACTCAGCAGGGCTAATTTATCTCTAATATTCTGTTGGGTTTGCTAGAGACTGTGGTGGAAGAGGTATTCAGATCATTTGCCTAAATAAAAATACCAACAGAGCCATGTCAATATATTCTAATACAAGTAAAAGTCCTGCATTAAAAATCCTACATATCAGCAGTGGCAACAAATTATAGTTCAAGTATAAAAGTAAAGTACTGTTTGACCCCTCTGACTGATGTATTATTATGTTTAACATCACTAGATCATTAATAGTGAAGCATCAGTGTGTCAGCAGCATGTTGCTGTTGTAGCTGCTGCAATTGGATCCAGTTTAAACTACTTTATATACAATTTCATAAACAAGGACAGCAGATAATTCTGAGGGTTTATCAGATGATTAATGAGCTTAGAAAAAAGAAAAAACTAAATTCTGATACACAAATCTGTTTTCAAGTTTTGGACTCTTGATTTTTGATAAGATATCAGAGCACTTGAATGTTTATTGAAGTGAAACCAAGCGAGAAGTTTTAAGTCAGCTTAGAAGACTTCTGACAGATCAGAAGCCAAAGAGTTTGGAAAGACTCATATTGTGTATTTCTTTTTCTGTAAAGTAACTAAAGCAATATTTAAATGTAGTGTAAAATAAAATTCTGTTTCCCTCTAAGGATTAAGAGGCATAAAATGGAAAAATGTAAGTAAAGTACAAGTAAATAAAACCTGGACTGAAGTATAGTGTTTGAGTAAATCAATTTAGTTATTGTCCACTATTGCCTGGAGACAACAGGCTCCCTGTAACAGCTTTAAGGCACAATTAACTGTTTTATCACCGACACACTTCGTGACTTCTCAGAATTTCCTGAGAATTGCTTCTAAATGAGGTTCTGAGTTTATAGCATGTTTCAGAAATCCACTTCAGAAAAATATGTATTTCTTCTGGTTGGGGTTTCAGCAACACCAGCTGATGAAATGTAAGGGGATTTAGTCTGTTTTGTAGCTGCCCTTCTAAATTCTCCTAACAGGATCTAACAGGTAGTCAGAGCTCTCTGGGGTCTAAATAATCCCAAACATAAGCATTACAACTAATCTATTACACATTTATGTCTGCAGATGACACAACATGAAAATATATTCTATTAAACATATATCATATAACATATTTACAGCCAACACTGAGAAAATAAAACTAATGTCATGTGTCACTTACTGAACCAGAGCTTCAACAGCAGGTTTTCATCACCAGCGTTGCCCCCAAAGGAGCATCTCCAGAAGAAACCCTCATGGTACAGGGTGACACCACTACTGCCCTCTTGCACCACCACATCGCCACGCTACAATAAGAGAAAAAGAAAAAAGACAGAATGATTCGCAAACATTTTCTCACTCTATAAAGACAGCAGAATATGGTTCATGTAAATACAGTTATTGATGCGCTCTATGTAATCAGTTGATGCTATTGAAGTCTAGGAGAGCTGCCTCAAAGTGAAGTGAGGCAGGTGTACAGTTTTCTGCCACAGTGTCACAGAGCAGCTGCTCAGGCAGGTCAGGGGTTGAGCTGAGCCAGCACCTTTCACCTCCGGCTGCTCCAATCTGGTGCCAAGTGAGCGTGCAGGTCGAGGATGTTCTCATTTAGGAACCGTCTATCATTGGTGGGCACTATTTTTTGCATGTGAGAAAATAAAAGCAATTCCTAAGTTGCCTGTTGTGTAACTCATAGGATGTATCTCAGAGAAATGAAAGCATTAAGGTGCAGGCTGTGATGAATCCTGGAGCATCGCTTAGTTGTGCTCTGTCCAGGGAGGGTGTGAAATGAACACCTTTTCAAACATTTTCACTTTCTGTTTGAAAGGTCAGATCATCCAAAGAGGTTTTAAGACAAATCCAAAGGGTCACAAGACAAATCAAAGCACAAACACATTTCTTCCCCACAAAATATATTAACTTCTCCCCAACAATTCTAACAACTTTCATTATTTTAAATAGCTAACTGACAGTCATATTGGGATTTGGGTTTGTTTGAAAGGGAAAACCAACCCCAAAAAGTTGAAATAGTGCAATAAAAAACTTAACATGCTGTTTTCTGATTGGATCCTGATATCCTTTCACTCCACACTGGTACAAAAATAATCATTTATAAGCGATTAGACTGAGATCACGTTGCATTACAACATACAGTATATCCTTAGTGCGACATTGGTTTTATTGTGCTGCTATCGTGTCTCAATGTTAGTATCAGTGTCCACTCTCAACAGCTAAGTATGTCCGAGTCTGTGATATTTAATCCAGTATCATACCACTTAGACTTCTGGTATTTGTATTTCTATCATTGGGGCACATGGTACAAGCTATGTCTCAATCACTGCATAGCTGCACACACGCTACATTAAACAGTGTCTCATTACATGGAGAGGTCCTGCAGGGATGCCTCTCCGCCCTGCAGCTCACCTACTGAAAGACTGACTGGAGCAACAGTTTCCAGATTAGAAGAAACAACTTTGGTTTTTCACTTCATAATAGATTATTATATGTTTCAGTATCAGTATTTGGGATTGTCTAGACTGCAACTTTATAACAAAGCTTAAATACAATGTAAAATAACATCATTAAAGCATCAAGAACAATTCATCTCACTTTAGTTTCAGGGGGTTACACATGTGAACATTTTTTATGCTACTGACAGATAACTGATTTCTGTCCTCTGATCTGCAGGTGTTAGCAGTGAAAACACTCACCTCTGTGATCACAGTGACGGGGCCAACGGATCCTTCAGGGTTCGGGTGGCAGCTCTCTGAGGCCAGCAGCCAGTAATCGGTTCCAAAAGAAAGAAGGATGAACACAGCTGCCAACGCCCCAAAGAGCCCTGCAAAAAACAACGCCACGCTAAGCTTCATGGTCCAAGTTTGACCAGCCGCTCGGCTACTGAATGCCCACGCTCTGTCTGACTTTCCACGTCCGACTAAAACAAGTGCATGTGACAAGCTGAGGCAGAACCAGTCACTCCTCTCGCGCTGTGTTATATCCACTGGGTGAGATGTTGACTCTGTCCAGCTGGTTTCTGTTGGGTTACTGGATCTTCGCTCCTCTCCTGTCTGTCTTGTCTGTGTTATGGGAGGACAAAGTTATGCACATGACTCCTCTGGACCCTCCACTGGGGTCTGCAGCAAGCCCACCCTGCACCACCCCCTGCTCACCCCCCCGGGCTATTTTTGGTTTCTGATTGAAGGCGGCTGCTCCTCTCCAATGTAGAGCTGAGTGTGTAGAGCATTCGAAGAGTGTGAGGGAAGGGAGGGGATCAACGCAGAAATAACCGGTGGCAACTGGACACCCAGCATCTGCACGGGAATGTCAGGGTAGGGTGAGACCGAAAGGACAGAAGAGGGGTAAAGTATCCCCCTACACCCTGCTCGAAAACCTTTGCCCCAACAGGACAACATACACATAAACAGCTGCACACGCCAGTAGCTGCCATTTCCCGTAAAGAGGGTGATGAAATTTACAGTAAATGCAGCCCTTTGTGTGACTTCAATGGGACTTTCAGTTGTTTCAGACACCATGAACACAGATGGAGACATGTACTATACAGACAAAATACATATATGTGTTTAAAAAAAAAAAAAAGAAAGAAAGAAAGAAATCACATAAAATAAACAAAGCTTACCATTTAGCAAGTTCTGAAGACTGCTCTAAAAAATATATTTGAAATAGCACAGCAGTTTCAAGTTTGATTCTTTTGGCAAAAAAAAAAAAAAGCCAGTAATAATTTAGTCAGTTTTAGATGTAGATGGTTTTGTTAGTTGATATGCATCAAGTTGTAATTTGTCTTCCATCAACAACTGCTTTCAGAAACCAGATTTTGTGATCAATCACAGTAAGTGTGAGCTGAGAAGAGCTTCTTGTTTATTAGCATCTAAGGGGAATATTTAACAGCGAACCTATATGTAGACACTGTCTAATTTACACACTAATGTGACCCAGGCTACCCTCAGTCTGCCTGAGGCACTCCACCCACATCCACTGTTGTGTGTGTGTGTGTGTGTGTGTGTGTGTGTGTGTGTGTGTGTGTGTGTGTGTGTAAAAGACCAAAACTTCAGATCAGTGGCTTATCAAATATCACTTATGTCTCGTCTGAAGCATAAATAAAGAACATTTTCAGTTTCATTTGTCGATAAGGAATTGCTTGTTCTACAATCCATTTAGATTCTTGGCCTCAAAGCTCAGATGTCGACATATTTTGTAAATATGCAAATGTGACTCTTCTGATTTTTTTAAATTATACATCTAATATAAGTCTACATTGTACCAGATATGTATGTAGTATTTGTAACAGTACAAGCTGTATTTGAATAGCGCTTTGTCATAGAGTCTATGGGTCCATAGTCCAAAGTGTTGGTTTCCAGCAACACTAAGTGTGACGAACAATTGATAAGCATTGATTAATATTTTTGTTGTTGCTAGTTTCATACTGCTACATTAGGTTAACTAACCTTATACAGTCACTTAGAAGAAAGCTACAGATGCTCATGTTTAGTACCTTTACTGATATTTTATTAGAATGCATTTTTAAGGTTACTTTCTTCACACTGACTGGAGTCTGTCTATTAAGTGTTCTCTGGCTACAGACTCCAGGATGAACTGGTGATTTTGGTGGTCAGAGATCAAAGTTCAAGCCACTTACAGCACCTCACCACACTGATTATGACAAAATGTCTCATATAAAATTATCAAGTGATGACATTTATTATCCAGTAAGGTCAAAGGTCAAGTCTTGACAGATATGGTTGTAAACTGCAACTTGATTGGTTGACAGAGGCATATAACCATGAGACAGCAAATTCTACTGCTGAAGATAACATAATGATAATGTTTATTTTTCATTTATTTTACTTGTTGCATCCTTAGAATCCTGTCATGTCTATATGAATACAGTCGATGGCAGCATTGCTACTGTTTACACAGAGAAAAAGTGCACTTGAATAAAGGAGTGTGCCTTTTGTAATGCTTTGGATGCCCCAGCAGGTGGTGGACAAGTAACCGCAGTCTCAGAAAATCTAAAGGCCTGTTTAGAGAACAGAGAACATACTAGGAAATTGGTAAAAACTGTTTAATGTGCAGTCAATAGAAAGACAAATGTTGCTATTAACTGTAATAAATTAGCGAGGTGTGCAAGGAGTGCTGGTAAAGTCTTATACTAAAAAATTAAAATAAACATATTAATACTTTTTTTATTTTTTGAAAACGTATAAAATGAAAGCTAGCGTTTTTTTTAAAAAAAAAACAACTACGAAGAGGAAAAAAATAAAAATGAAATAAAAAGACAAAAATCTCTGCTATCCTGTGACGTCAATGGACGATACCATCTTGCAGCGCAGTCGCGGGGGTGTCCAACCAGACAACGCGACTGTTCAACGCCTCATAAACCGGCCATGACTCGGACAGTCAACATTTTCGCCGGACACAGACTTGACGCTTTTCTGTAAGATCCATCAGCTTTCACCCTGTCCGCATTTTCACCCAGAGATAAAACCCGGCAGTGTGTCGGCTTCCCCCCTGCTTGTGAGACCACCGCCGGGACGGATCCGTGTTTTGTGTTTGGACAGTTTACGGTGGAGCGGATGAGCGCTTCCTCCTTGGCCGGAGCGTTCACAGCGGGAGGATGAACAACCAGAGATGTAGCACTTTATTCCTGAAACCAAAAGGACGGACGAGGATTATACAGTGCATCTATGTGGTGGGCTTCATGGTGAGTAAGTTGAAGAGAGCCTGAACCTGCTGGTTTAGGCTGTGTGATGAGCTGCCATGCTTTCACAACTCAGGTGTGATGTAAAACCAAAAAAAATAAAATAAAATCTCCTTCAGATGTTATTTTGAGTTGTGCTTTCTGTTTAAACTGTGCAAAACTTGCGCTGTTTTTGGTTATATTTAGGGTGTATGCAAGTAATTGAAACAGCTTCAGTTTTTAAAAAAAATATTTATAATAATAAAGAAAGAAAAAGCAGAAACTGCCTCTTAGAGTAAATTTTAAAACGTGCAAATAGGAATCCCATGAAGTTTCTTAAGTATTAAACATTTTTAATAATGTCATGCTTATCTGCAGACCTTTGTAGCATAATTATACATAATGTATTCCTGAATAGGCTTTAATCTAACACTCAATCTTTACATGTGCAAAGATATAAAGAGCCACTGCAATGTTCAACTGTTTTAGCTTCTAAAGCCTTCATTGGGATTGCAGAAAAAAATCCAAACAACTAAACACTAATGTATCAGTTGCTAGGTTAATATAAACTCAGCATGGAGAATTATTGGCACAGCCCTCCTGTGATATTTTAGAATTCCTCCCTCACCATAGCTCACATGAATCTTCACAAATGCAGCCACACTTGTGAGTCTGTTGAGAGTCGCCTCTTCACAGCATCACTGTCAGTAACACATGCTGCAAGGTAGACTTCCTTGACTTTAAGGACATGTTGAAACACACTGATGCAAGTTGTATTGTGGGTAACCTACAACAAAAAACAGCTGAAAATCCAAATGTTTATGTTTTTTTAGAGCCGGCCTGCAGTCATGCTTCAGAGAATGAACTTTCACATTTCAATCTGCAGAAGCGATTAACCAATTAAAGGTCACCAAAAGAATCCATGAAGCTCAGATTTTTGTGAGAAAAGACAGACACCGCTAGGAGAGTAATGCTGCTGAAGCGATTCCTGTAATAGGCAGTGTCAGAACACTGTATGAGTTGCTGTGTGACTCCAATTAAGACTTTGGCAAGGGCCGCTCTGATCTCAGCAATGCAGAAAAACAGGTTGTGTTTCTGTGGCCACTGAATCTACCTTCAAACTGTCTGTGCTGGATCACATTGGGTTGGCTAATTGGTTTGATCATTTGTTTGATTATTTCACGTTTCCAGTTGTTCAGGTTTCTAATGTGATATATTTTCATCCGCTTCCCTTATTTTCTTTAGGACTTGTTTGGGGTGAGCATGATCATCCCGTTGCTGAGCCATCACGTGAAGGCTCTTGGGGCAAGTCCCACTGTGGCTGGTATAGTAGGTAAGTTGTGTCCGTAATGTGTAGTAATCTATTTAGGCTACATTGCAGATGTACTGAGGGTCAGCCCCCACAGTTACGTAACAGTTAATGTGTAATTAGAAGGCAAGTTCACTAACTTTGGACAGTCTTAGAGCAAAACAACTGGCCAGATAATTTTCTGGTTGCCAGAGTTTAAAGAAAATCCTAAGATTTAGTGCAGCACTTCTGTTACATCGCCATATTAACACTGTAAAGTTAAAAAAAAGGCTCAAACTGATAAAGCAGAACAAGAGATATCTGTCTTTTTAATTAACATTAGTGCAGAAAAAATAGGTTGATAAATCAACAAATCAACTGAGGAAAAAAAACAAAACAAAACACTGAATCCTTTAGCGAGCAAAGACATACTTTAAATATACAAAACATAGTCAAATACAGGAAAGCTAAGAGTATGGTGGCGCTTTCTTCATTTGCCTCTAGGTAGTATTTGCATCTTTTTTTACTCTGCTCCTGTAGATTTGGACTGTTGGATGGATAAAACAAGCAAATTGAATGTCACTTGGGCTTAGTAAGCAGCGGCAGAGAAAACAATAAATGATTGAAAATAGTGTTTTTTGTGATGCACGTAAATGTAAAGTTGAAAATGAATTTTATCCCAAGCTATAATTAACTTTACTGGATTGTGTCTGCAATACACATTGATACCTTACTGTCCTGTGCTGTAATTGTTATTTTTCTGCTTTCACATCACTTGAATAGTGGTAAAAATTAACAGTATGTCAGCGTCTTGTATTGTTTAAAGACTGAAGTGCTTATTTCTCGGTATCATTTCAGCATTAGACTCACATGATGTCTGCTCTTTGCTTTGTCTGTCAAATATGAATTCAAACCAACATTCAATTGTTTCAGGATCCACATACGGCATCTTGCAGCTTTTCTCAAGCACAGTGGTTGTAAGTATTGACTTTGCTTCTCTGTGTCCAACCCCCTATTCAGGCTGTCCTCCCTGACAGGACGTGCTCAGAGTTAGTGGCCAAAATGGTTGCATTCCATGCCATCCCTGGTATTTCATGAAAACAATAAACACTGGCTGTTTTAGGTTGATTGTGGTCACACGATGCACCCAGTCTCCACACTTTTACACACACAAGAGACTCCTAGTGAGCCACAGCTACTTAAATTTACTCTTTTTTACACAGAAATTGATTCTCACCCTTTGACACCACCTCTGACTCGACACTGGGATGATTTAGTTGTATCAGCATACAGACCTTGATGATTCATGCACAAACTCCACCCGACAATAAGCGTAGCACTTGAATTAGGATTCTCAGCTTTTCACATCTCTTTCCTGCCGCCCTGAGGTCCTGAAATTAGCGTAATTCTCAGGGGTCATGCGACAAATTAAACAGATAAGGAGTCATCTGTTAGTTCCCGTGTGCAGACCGGCTGAATCCTGACAAATGTAGACGTACGTGAACAGCTGGGTCATTATGATAATCCCACAAGGCTACATCCAGAACACAGCAAACCCAATTGGTTCTAATTTCATTATTTCGTCAGATGGTTTTGTGCTATGTGTGTGAGAGAGAGGGCGACAATCTAATAAAGGCTTGTATAACAGCCTGAGCTGCTTTGTCAAGACGAAATGCAGGGTTTGGAAATTTGTGGTTCACTTTTTTTGAATCAAGTGATCTTTGAGCTTCTACTTCATTTATTGTGATTTGTCATTAATTAATTATGGAATTTAACATCAGCTTCACCTTTTAAGATGTTTCATAGGACTGTAAAATGTCCATAATCTCATCTCTAAATAACTTTCAGAGAATAGAAATTTAGTTTCAACTTCTATTTGTGGTTGTGTGTCGTTTTCTCTGTGATCGACAGGGCAGCTGGAGCGACGTGGTGGGACGGCGGTACTCTCTGCTGACCTGTCTGCTGCTCAGTGCTCTGGGTTACGGTCTCCTGGGAATGTCCACTAGCATAGCTTTATTTGTCCTCGCACGGATACCTGTGGGTAAGTTGGACAGCTATGCAAAAGCATATGGCAACCCTGAAGCCTAATTGGTCTTTTTCACAGAAGATATTTAGAGTGTCTATAAAAAGTATTCACCCCCGTTGGGAATTTTTCCCCTTCATTGCTTTTCAACATTAAATCCCTGCTTAATTTATTTAGGCTTTTTTTGGGCAAGAATTTACAAAACAAAACAAAAAAAAAGAAGAAAGAGCTTTCTACAAACTGATGTAAATGAAATGGAGAAATATGACACATATAATTTGCCTCGGGCAGGTTGTCCTTAAGAACTGAGTGACCGTGCAAGAAAGGAACTAGTGAAGGAGCCACCAGGACACCTATGACTCCTTTGACAGAGTTACAAGTTAAGCAGCTAAGACAGGAGAGACTGTGCACACAACAGCCTGTTCTTTATCAGTCAAAGGTTTATGGGCAAAGAGAAAGCCACTGTTGAAATTAGCTCATATTAAATCTCGACTAGCGTTGTACTATGTTATGTAGTGTGTACTCACCTCTGAAGCTTTCTTACCTAAAATAGCCACAGATATGTATCACTGCATATCTTGCACATCTTGCTCTGACTGCACTCTTCAGGAAGAATGAGACGGATGACATTTCCTGTCTCATTGTGATTCTAACACTCCGAAAGGCGTTGTGAAAAAGGCACTACAACACTTTTGGTGGCACGAGAAACAAATCAAGATGACAAGTTCTGCTTAATTTGCCTGAGACTATGTGGCAGGTTAAAAGGTAATACTATGGTGTCCTGTTACAAATTCTAAAATATGCTAAATGTGCAAAATCTTGATTTAACAAGGCTAAAAAGACAAATGGTGTTAAAAGGTTAAAAATAAAATGGGTAAAAATTATTTCAATACACAACACAGAATCTAATACCAGTTTAAATGTAGATGTAAATAGTTTTTTATTTCATTGTGTTCCTCCTTAGTGTTTAGTTTCACCTGAAACTGCACGGTTGGTGATCTTTAAAGGGACCTCGATCAAGCATAGAATCTATCACAAGGCCTCTACTAACCTAATGAGGGGGAATTGCACAATTTTACCTCATTTCAGTGCTTTTTGAGGGGAAAACACAAGTTTACCAAATCCTTTCCACTTCTGCCTGATAAAGTTATCTGTTAAAGCTCCACCCGGTCAATAAATGTACCACATCTAAAATTCTATTCATAAAATGCACCAGGCTTTGGGAGAAGTGGTGTCTCAAGAACAAACTCAAGGAACAAATGCGTTTTATCAGGTTATTATTATTAATAGTAATAATAATAATACTTTATTGATCCCTTACAGAGAAATTCCATTCACAGTTACATCCGTCCAAGAAACATAAAGACAATAACTGGGGGATACAGGAACTGTCGGGACTGCCAGCCAAGCCAGCGTCCTTATCAATTACTTAATTCATTATTAATTAATTATTATCCACTAATGATTAATTCATGTAGAGGCATTACCATTATAATTCTTGATAGCATAATAATAGCACACGGTACTACTATAGCAGTACAGTGTATTTATATTTTATACAATGACAATGCTTTTTTTTTTTGCTAAACACACTGACATGTATCTTTTTATACTCTTTCTATAAAAGATGCTGTTAACCTGAAATCATTTCTTTCTTTCTTTTTTTTCGTCCTATAAAAACATCTAAAATTTAAAAATCTGCTTGGATAATTTTCACTTTAACACGTTCCCAGGGCCCAGGGGAACTCACACATATATGCTACTACATGCAGCTAAGTGACCTCAAGTCATTTTTGTCATGTCTCTACACTTCAGAGAGGAAGATCCTGCACACTGCTCCTGCTCAGCATCACAATTTATATTGGAATATCTCATTTCTAATTTAAAAGAAACTAATAAAAACTGAGCGAACTAGTGTGGAAGGGAAGGTTCTTTGATTCTGAGAATTCATCTCAATGAAGAGAATTGTTTTTCTTTACACATTTCCCCTAAAGACAGGATACGGTGTACAGAAAATCAGTTACCAATTTCCTGCTTGTTTTCTGTTTCAGGGCTGTTCAAGCACTCCCTGTCCATCTGCAGAGCCCTGCTGTCTGACCTGGTGTCGGAGTCGGAGCGCCCTCTGGTGATGGGACATTTTAACGCAGCCTCCAGCGTGGGTTTCATCCTGGGTCCTGTGGTTGGAGGATACCTCACTGAGCACGAAGGAGGCTTTTATACCTCTTCATTTACTTGTGCAATCATCTTCCTCATCAATGCCGGTAGGTGACAAACTGAGAGAAGTAGCTGATAACACAGAGTCTGTATTTGAAATCTCCTGTATCTCTAATACGGTGTGTTTATCATTTCAGGGCTGGTGTCGATGCTACCGTGGAGTGAGACGCCAGCCATCCGTAACGGCACTAACTCCAGCAACCACCTGAGTAAAGGTTGTCCTGACAACCACTTTAGCAAGTCTGTACACAATGGTTCTCATGCAAATAACCACCACCCAGAGTTGACAGCAAAGACTGAAACTGATTCCAGAGCTCCTGGGCAGCATCATGGTGGTTTCAGGTGGAGGGACGTGTCTCTGTCCAAGCCTGCCTGGAGACAGCTGTCCTCAGTAGGCTCCAAGATCCACACGGTGGCCTCCTCTGACATGTGGGACCTCTTTCTGGTGCGTCTTCTGATGGCCATAGCGATCATGCTCTACTACAGTAACTTCTCTCTGGCCATGGAGGAGCGTTTCTTACTTAAGCCAAAAGTGACGGGTTATCTGATCAGCTACAGCAGCACCTTAGGGGCCCTGGCCGGGTTCCTGGTGGGGCCAGTCACCCAGCTCTATGGGAACAACATGCCTGCCCTGCTGCTTCATTCCACGGTGCTCACCTGCTCGCTTATTTTCCTTTACGCCACTGCGCCGAGCGTGTGGCAGGTGCTGCTCACCTCCACCTTCTTTGCCATTTCTACCACTATTGGACGGACGTGTATCACAGACCTGGAGCTGCAGAGGGGAGGGGTCCAGGCCAGCGGGACTCTGATTGGAGCCGGGCAGTCAGTCACAGCTGTGGGTCGAGTCCTGGCCCCTCTACTGTCCGGTCTGGCCCAAGAGTTCAGCCCTTGCGGCCCCCCGAGTCTGGGAGTGGTGCTGGCTCTGGCAGCCGTTGGTTTATTGCTCATCAGAATCCCCAAATGGGACGGGAGAGGGATGAACAAAGCAGCCAAACTCTGAACCTCTCGCTAGCTGAATTTTTAAATGTTGAAAAACCAATGCTCTGAGAAGTGCTCTTATTTGAAGGAGGCCAGCTGTGAGGGCGAACAGCATACTCACAGTGGTAGAGGTGTTTATTAACAGGAGGCCTCCACCAAATGCATCTGTAGATGTGACATCACAGGAGAACCAGCACTGCAGTCCCTCTCTCAGGGACAGTGGAATCAGAAATCAAAGCGGTGTTGTGGTGAGGACAGGACTGTTTAAGTTTCATGTGCTTCCCAACATGCTGAAGTTTGACCAGACAGAAACATATATGAGCTTTGTCTTGGCACATACTACTTGTGACCACTTGATTGGCAACAATGTACACTTGGTTTGTACATATTTTACCTCAATCCCTGAAGGGTGTACTACGAAGCGAGACTAATGGGTTAGCAAAATATGTTGAGAGTTTTCAATGTCAGAAAGATGGGCTTCTTTTAACCTGCTAGATCACCGTGGTAACTGATGCTGCAAAGCTAACCTGCTCTAGGGAAGGTTATGTTCAGAGTTTGGGGTTTAAAGCGGCTGATAGTCGTGCCATCCTTTTTCCGAATTTGTTTCCTGCTGATTCTCAATCAGCGATATTGACTCTCAGCTGAAGTAAGAAGTTGCTTCTGCAAACCTGTTGAGCTGTACGTTGGTAATTCCACTGAAGCAAGCCGTGCAGTTATAGTATCACACACTGTATGCATTGCATGTTGTCATGAGGACCTACAGCATTCAGATGGTGATGCAGAAAATTCATAAACAGGTTTTTCACATCCGTTTTACACAGTTAATATTGTGTTCAATAGAACACAGATTAGAAAATAGTTGGTTTTAGCATAGAGAATATTCTGTCAGTATTGTTCTGGACAAGACATCATCAGACCTAAATACACTTTTTTTTAGCATCATGTTAAAATGTTTGAAGTTTACAGCGCTAATGTACAACTGTTAAGTTAGCAATTAGCCGCTGCTTTGAGAGAGCAGAAAATATATTATTACACGATTAACAATGTTCTACCAGCATTCCTCTCTTGCATCATTTGCAGTAACAGCACTTTTTTTTTTTTTTTACCATAACAAAAGTTAATATTATTCATAGCTCTCTTTAGACATGTTCCTTTTTACTGACACTGGTGTTGCACAATCTGTACATTTTGTGCAGAAAAGGAGGCAAATGACGGCCTCCAACGCCCTCTTTAACAAAAGTGCACGCAGAGTCTGATAAAGAAAAGCTTTGTCCAGCCAGCTAATTCATAGAAAGCCTGGCTGTGTAACATTGCATCATAGTACACTCCTCAGGTGTTTCTTCCAATATCAGAAATGGTTCTTATGGTGGTATGTAAGTGAATGTTTGCTCTAGTTTTTGACTCTTTGGTTTTACAGTTATAGAGATTTTATTTATCTGAGGAGCTGTTTAATGTATACTTAAAGTAGTAAATCTTTGTATTGTTTATTTTTTAACAGCCCAAACACTACTGTGATAAGAAGGAAGATTTGTCTTTTACATTTGTGTAAAGACCTTACTGAATCCTAGAAAGTACAATTAATGCCAAAAAAGTCACAAGGAATAAACAACAGTTTGTATGTTTGAGTCTGTGGTCTTTTGAACTGTGTATGAAACACTGAAATCAGTACTTCAGTTTGTATGTTAACATCCAACACTACATTGGGTTATTCAGTTTCAAATCATTAGGGGCCAGCATCAACTATGGATATTTAAAATGGTATTTGTTTTTTTTTTGGTTTATGTGATATTTTTTGTGATATTTTTTTTTTTTGTCTCTCTGTGTCGCCCCTTTTTTCGCTTTTTTTTTTGCTTTTTGAGTGTTTGAGTCTGTTTTTGTGTGAGTATCTTTGGGGCTCTTTTAGATATACTTGCCTGAAACTTTCACAGTTATTCCTTATCATGCTGTTGAACTACTAGATCAAACAATCTCTGATCATGGGTAGGTTGAAATATGAAAAAGATTGACGGCATCATGAAAAGTCCCATCTTACCACACGTTAACAGTAAATTAAACTGGTTGTATTTGCTGCACCACATTCACAATAATACAAAACATATAGAATACTTATTAGTATAAAATAAATAAAGCTTTTGCCTTTTAATGGTTCCTGAGATAGTGTTTTTCAATGCGTGAAAAAAATGTGTCGAAAGTGGGTTGAAGGTCAACTTATCTCTGAAACTATTTGATATGTCAAAATAAAATTTCGCAAATATTTTATATAAAAAAAAAAAAAATTCAGGCTAATTAATAATAATTGATCACATTCATTCTGGTGGTGGTAGCTACGACTGCCCTGGGGCAGACTGACAGAGGCGTGGCTGCCATTCTGCGCTTACAGCCCCTCCGACCACCACCTCAAACAATCCATTCATATGCATTCACGCCAGGCAAGGTGGGTGAAGTGTCTCGCCTAAGGACACAATGACCATGACTCAGGTTACAGGGCAGAATTGAACCGCCTTCCGATTGTTGACCGACTCGCTCTACCACCTGAGCCACAGCCGCCCTGATTAGAGATGAAAGAGAAGACAAATTGTTCAACAAATCTGATGATTTGAGATTAAATGATCCTATAACTACATATCCACTTTCTACTTTCTCTGTAGATGGCCTCTTCTGTAAACTGACATTTCTTAAGTTATATTCATTGTCTAACCCAGAATAATCAGTAACAGTTTTGAACAACATAGAAAATTTATTACAGAAACGGAAAACAATAACAGAGTTGACCAGAGGGTCCATCAGTGTCCCAGACATTCAAAAAGCCCCCAGTTGGTTCTAACTGTCCTTTGTGCTGCACAGCGATAGCATGTTCACCTAAAATGACCTAAGTACAAAATGATATCCTTGATCTTATAACTGTCACACGTGATGGGCAATAAAATACAGAAAAACTAAAATATTAACATGTAAGCAACAAAACAGTACAATTTCACAATAAAACAGTTTCAGTTCTGTTTTTAAGAAAGTCCTACAGGAAGGTAAAAGGCATTTAAAATCAAATTCATGTGAAATAACTCACTGCTGAGAGTTCATGTGCAGTACCTTCGCAGTAGTGCACTGTGCTTCTGATGTGCCTCTGACTTTTTCTTCCTGTCCTATGTGGCTCATTTTGAAGTTTGGTTCACTTCTAATAAGAAATGAATGGACTTCCACAGTTAACTCACTCAGTGGTATGAAGACACACTCATATCTGAGACCTGCAACTGCTTGACAACTAGAGACTCAGTGCGTCGCAGTCCAGCTGCTGCCGAAGCCCAGGAAGCCTTTTTACATCTTCTTCGGGTTCCACTGAGGCCGCCTGAGCAGAGGGTTTCTAGTGGTGCTGTCTCTGGGTTCAGCAGCCCACACTGGAGATGGAGAAGAAGGCTGCGACTGCTCCTCCTCTTCCTCTTGTGTTTCATGATGGCTGTTTCTTAAGTTATCCGCTGAGCCGCTGTTATTATCACCGGGGTGGTGACGACGGGGAGCGGGTACAACATGGGAGTCACTGTAGGAGGAGTTTGTTCTGGACATGCCGTGACCAGTCCGTCCACCGTCACTCCTGCCTTCATCCACAGCGTCTACAGACGGAGCTTCTTTCAGGGTGTCCAGCCGGCGCATAGGCATCATGGCTCTGGAGGAGGAGCGCGTGGGCTGGCCGAACCGAGAGCGTCGACTTGGGTAGGCGACCTCTGACATGGTTTCGTGATCATCTAGGAAAGGTTGAGTAATAATTAGATTTTATAAGAATGCGCGTAAACAACACTGAGAGGACTTCAATGAAGGAGGAGATGAATGTGGTCACAGAGTTTAACCTTCAACTGTTCAGCTTCAGTGACATGAAGCCACAAATTTGTGCTGTGCAACATTATGCAAAAGTACTTACTATTTGAATTTTAGTGAAGAAAAATGATACACAGGACATCTACAAAATTAATATTTAATGAAAAGTGCTGATTTCCAAGGCTGTACTTAAACACAGCTTTGAGCGAAACAAACTACTAATAATGTGATGTTACCAAATATGTTTACTATCTTAGTTTAGTATGTTAACATGACAATATTTGCTATTAGAACCAGTCACAGGGTACAGCAGAGGCTAATGTCATTCATTTTGCAGGTACATTTTTGACCTCATGGAGGTGCTCCAGTAATTCAAAGTTATAAAAAAAAAATTCATCCTGTGGAGAATATAACATGGACTAAATGTCATACAAATACATTTAATCATTGCTGAGACATCTCACTAAAAACAGAAATGGCAACCTCACAGCGGCAGACAAAAAGTTGGTGGTTCACTAAATTCCACAGGCCTCATCCCACAAGGAACACAAAGGTTATTTAACCAGGAAGTCTCCTGAGATTAGTTTCTTTTCAGAGGACGGCCTGGCAAGGAGGCACACCCTTATGAGATTACGAAAAAAGAAAAATGTCTGGACAATTTGTTTTAAAAAACCTCTCCGATTGTTGCTGAGATAATTCAGTCTGGACAAAAGTGGCCAGCTTGTCTTAGCTTTGACCATTTTCCTCAATCTGATACTTAAATACACAAGTGGGCAGATTGTACTGACTGTAAGAGGCTGTCAGACACCGTCATGTTGGGATATTGTCATTTAGTGTGTAATTATATATTTTTCCAACTTTTAATTAAGTCAAAAAAAATGGAGAAAGTGGGTGTTTTAAATGTAGTTTCAGAAGCTTACCTGTGTAGCTCAGCCTTGAAGGAGGAAATTTTAAATCCAAACTCTGTCCAGCAGGAAGGGAGAAGTATTTGTGCGACTTGGGCACCATCTGAGAATAACAAGAAAACAGCAGAATTAAAAAGACATTTAACCTTATGTTTAACTTGGAATGCCGTCATCTCAGTGTGGTAAGAAGATAACCAACCTGCTTCTCACAAGGTGTTTAATGTGACTCTCACTTACCTACAGCACCTTTAGCAAACAGTCTGAAAATGTTCTAACAGAGATTCATTTCACAACCAAAAAAAAGTCGGGTTTAGTTGGTGTTTTTCTGCTTACGTTTGACTGAAAGCTGCCCGGTCGGAGGCTTCGACGGATGCTGGCGTGGCGTCTGATCAGTATCTCTTTCGTCTGGCTGTCGTTGGGCAGTGCATGCTTATTTGTGTATGCCACCGTCTAAATACCAAAAACAAAAAGAGGTGTTATACAGACAAAATCACACTTTAGATGCAGACAGAACATTTTACCATTTTGACTACTGTGTTGTAATTTTCAGTTTTTGTCAGGCTGCATCACTTTTATCTTGACACTCCTCATCTCAAAGTGATTGAATTTACTTTTAGAGGTTGAAAGTAACCAGGAATCACAACATGGAAGTCCTCTGTGTAATAAAAACAATAAAAATCTGAATGGAGTTTGGTGCAGCATTTCGTTTCTGTCTTCTTACTCATAAACAGTTCACCTTCAGCTGTTCAGAGAGTTCAAAGCTACCTGATGTAATTTATCACTACAACTTTAATATTAGCACCATCCAGCGACCCCACTGGAGACAACAGACGCTATAAGATGCTTTGAGAGGAGACAGCATTCTTTAAAGCTCATATTACTCAACCAAAACTGGCCACACCTGTTTGAGCCACAGGGGCAGGTGTCTGTGTTTGGGCTTTACAAGCTGCCACCTCTTACCGCCGCCGTTTCTATCCTGCTGCTATTAGTTGGACCTAAAACAAATACAACCGCCTTTCCAGCACTCTGAAGGTCACCACTGTTCTGTAGAAAGACGTCTCATGACATTAAAATGCTTCTGTCTATTTCACAAGGCGCCAAAACTGTATCACAGTTTGTATTTTTATTTATTATGGCATCAAATAAATTAAAGAAGCCTCAAGGCAAGCTGTTGATAAATGTGATAATGTGAGTTTAATGAGGTCACATCTGACCAGTTGGGCTCATTAAGTTCTCTGAGTTTCAGCAGAAGCTCGAGTGAAAACCAAATAACATCACAGACGGTCGCTGACGCTGGCTTTGAGTGTGAAAGACGGAACTGTAAATATGTGAAGAGAGACTTGAAAGGGGGGTTATTAAGATAATCAGATAAACTGTCAGCCTGAGCACAGAAGCACATGCTCCCTATTTGTCTACACATTAAAGCGTCTCTGAAGGCCTTTCTAAAGGGTGATGTCATGCCACTAATGGAAAAGTACAGCCGGTCTGTGGCTATGCAAAACAGCACCGAGCCGCAGAGCTTTGGGTTGGCAGGTTTGAATAACACATCGCTGAAATGTGCACTGATTTGATTTTTGTGTCAAATTAGGATGAAAATGGATTTATTTAGTTTGTTAGATTTCTTTATGTAGAAGAATTAGGTACTGTGCTTTTTTACGCTTTTACCAGCTTTTGATAAACTTTAAAGTCACTGAGCACGTGTGCGACTTGGTGAGGCTGAACCATCCACACAACACAAACACAAGTTCAAATTTCACTTTAAGTGTACTTTTAGCTCCTGAATGTTTACCACAACAACATTTAAAATGCAAATGCATAAAAAACTGGTTCTAGCGTCCGTGTTTCCTCACTGAGGCTGCAGAGTTTATGTACTGTTTGCTCTGTAGGGAAAACTTCCGCATCAGTCACGGAAGAAGCACAAGACACTGATTCAATATTGTAAAGTATCCAATTACAAGTTAAAATCCTACATTGAAAATCCTACTTTAGTAAAAGTACTTAAGTATTAGCACAATGTACTACGTCACTATTAGATTGGTAATGTTTATGCATCGATCCACAGGCAGCAATTTACAACTGCAGCAGTTTGAGGGGGAACTAGTTTAGAGGTTCTAAATCTAGGGTCCGGGCCCCTCTAAAGGGTCCTCTGATGAATCCGAGGGGCTGTGAGATGATTAATTGGACAGGGAAAAAGAAAAGACAAGTTTTCCTACATTTTTTTTTTTTTTTTACAGGGGAAAAAAACTTTACTTTCTAACCTTTTTTTTTTTTTTTTTTTTTTTTTTTTTTTTGACAAATTATCTCTTTGGCGTCAAATAGTTACTGAAATGGAATCATCTGGGAAGTTTTGAGGGTAAATTTCTCTTTGGTGAAACTATAAATAGGATCTGAAACATGACGAGCACTTCCAAGTAGACACTGTGTTTTTATAAGCGTTAGTCACGAGCCAAAGGTGTGGTTTTATCTGTTACAGTCGATGGTATTTTATAGGCTTTTTGGTTTTTATGTAAAATCACATAAACGTACTTTATTTGCTTCTAAACTGTAGTGAAATATAAGGTAGCACGAAATGGAAATGTATCCTTCATCTCACCCGTTGCCTGATCTTGTACATGTTCTTGGACAAGATGTCGTGCATGTTCCTTAGATCAGCAGCCAAGAACTTCTTCTTAGGTTTAGCAGAGCTTTTCTTCTCCTCACTGAAAACAAAGCAGATTTGTTTCGTTACTCTCCTGTTGACCTGAACAGACATTAAAGAGGTTGTGTGATAGTCTGAGTCAGACAGAGACAGAGCCGAGGTTTCATACTAGAGAGAGACGATGGACGGAGCAGCACTGATGTCTCCAGACACCGTGTCCAGGATCTCCATGGCGTTCTGCAGCTCCAGCTTCTTGTACAGCGCCACAATGCTGGACTCAGCCCTGCTGTCTCTGATGAGGATCCTACGCAGGATGCGATTGTTGAACTTCATAAACCTGAGATTGAGAGACAGGAGATTACACTGATTAAGGCTGACAGTTTGTGTGAAACAAGGAAGAACTTCTTTATCGAGCCATCTTATGTCCTCACAACTTTGCAGACACAAACAATGCAGTCTAAAAAATATCAAAACAAAGGCAAACACATTACACAAATCATGTGAAACCACAAATAAAACAATATATCAATCTTTCACTACTTTAAATATTTCCTAACCTGTCTGTGGCACTCATCTCCCCCCATTCACTTCTACTGAGATAAAACATGTCATACATGTTTACATTCTACAGTTGTTTTTTGTGTTTTAATGGTATTTGTGAGCGGTTACCAGCTTTAACAAAGGTGCTGATGTTCAACTTTAATTTCAGAGTTGAGGTCAAAGTTATAACCTTCAGTCAGATACTGGGGCTGCCCCAGGTTTATATGAGATGCTGAAAAGTTCATCTCCTCAACTGCAGCTCCGAACGCAACTAAAACACTGAAATGTGTAATTTTGTACATAATGAATTTATCTTAATAAAAATGTCCTGACAGGTGTGATGGAGCTCAGGATTCATCCAGAGAAGCTTTAATACGGATAACTGCACTGTTTAAACCTGAAATCTGTGTGGAACAGCTCACATGGTGGATATGTAGAGGAGCAAAGAACATGAATTACCTTCTGAACCTGTTAATGAAGTTATCGATGCTGTGCCACTCTCTGTTTAAAGAAGTACTTATTGTTTCTACTGCTGTGTGAAGCTGCAGGTAATTGTTAAAGTTAAGAAAAAACTGTGACACCCAGCAAGTTGTGTGCAACAAACAGGACTTCAGCAGGTGTATTAAGGTTTTTGCAAAATCCCACACTTAGGCTTTTCTTAAAAAATGAAAAATAATCAAAAATAAAAGGGAATTGATGCATTGACAATCATGGGAGGAGGAACAAACATATTTGTTAGTATTTTATTTAAGGTATTTTCTACTGTATGTTGTGCATTTTGCACTGTACAGCTGCATTTACTTCACCTCCCCAACATGTAGTCAGTAAGTTTGAGGTATTTTTAATCTTTTGCAGTTGGTGACTGGATAATATCTCTGTCCTAAAGACATCGCAGACACCTGAAATGTTCCCTGATGATGATCTGATCGGTCTGTAATGCAGCCATCTGCACTTCCTGCTTGTTTACGAGGCTTTTTGGTTTCAGTCTGATTGTGTCATGTTTGCTTGGTTTGGCGCTGAATCACAAGAATAACAAAACTATAAAAGACATATATTCTACTGTTTCGCTGTTTGTAAGTTTAAGATCAGCATCCTGCAGGAATATTCTAAAATTGAGGGAAAAAAATGTGAAGCCTAAAGTCAGAAAACCTAATAGTGACAGCTCCTTCACTCATATCAAACCAAACATTCCTAACAGTTCCTCTGTATGATGTGTTCATATTCTCAGCATGTTTTGACTAGTTAAATCAAACTTAAAACACAGTTAAAAACTTGAGGAACCCGTCTCACAAGACAGTCATGACGAGTGTCAATAAAACCGGGAGGAGGTGAAGGAAGAGGGAAGAGGCCTGGGATACAGGGAGACATGAGGGAGTCTAGATTAAAGGCAAAAGTTACAGATAAAATATGAAAGTAAATATAACAGTAAAATGGTACAATGTATAAGCTTTGTGTGCAAACATATGTTTTTCTAAGTGTTTCAATCTCACATGACTATTGTTGCTGTAATGCACATTCCGAGCAAGAATACATTAAAGTATGTTCTCTCTGTGCTTATTTTGTATTCCATATACTGTATGTATTTTTAAACATTGTATATGATACTAAACTAGTACATCCTGTAGCACATGAAGCATACAGTATCTCTCATGTCATGTTATATGGACAAAATGAAAATGTTTAATTTCTACATTTGGGAACACATGACTGTTAAGGAAGCGGATGACATAATTCTGCAAAATTGACATTGCTTCTGATTAGAAATGCAAAATGTAAAAAAAAAATGGAACAACAAAACACTGATTTCTTGATTTAACCTGCAATGAAATAAACACTGACTGAATAGCATATCACAGGTTATATGAAAAGAATGTGTGTTTATAATGCTCAAAGAAAATGAGCATTAAGTGAACCAAATAATGTTTGTTGTCGACTGTGGAAGTAATGTTAATTTTCCATTATAGCAAATGGTCAAAAATAGTCTTTTGGAAAATTCAATTTGGAGCTAAAGCTAATTAAGAACATGAAACATTTTTTTCCTACTAACCCATTTACGCAGGTATTAGTCACAGCAAACCGTGATGACTTGCAGAGTGGATGTCTGAACTGTGCTGGTGACTAGAGTGAATTATGTGTTTGTAAAGTCTCTGTGTTCAGCTCTCAGTGTTTGTGTAGCTTCTATCTGCATGTTTAGAGTTTATACTTTGACTCATGTATCCCTGTTTGCCCATTTGCCCTATTATATTGTGATATTCTCATTGTTTTCAACAATATCACAGCTTCGTTGTAATCTGAAACTCCTCTGCTCTTGCTGCTTTGTACCCGTAAACCACTGGATGCTTTCATTGTGAATACGAAATATAATGTGGCCATCACAGGTTTCACAAACAATCATTAGAGTTAGAAAACCTCTTTATCTTTCTGTGTGGAGCAGCAGGAAAACGTTTGCAAACCAACATGGCATGACTGACTGGAGATGTTCACGACACAACTAATCCCATGGTGGCAAAACCCCACAAAAAAGTTGTAATATTAGCATTTTACTTGAACTTATAACTAAAAAATAATAATATTTCAAAGTTATTGATTTGATCATAGCTGGAGGAGAAGAATATCCTTCGAGATCTATGATTCTGTCAGACCATGTGGTGGCAAACGTATTTTAAAATTAAAAATATTATACGTCAAAGCGTTTAGAATAAAACTGGAGTTAAATTTAAAGCACTGAAACAATGTCACTGGAATGAAATCTGGTTGGCGAGTCAGAAGAGACAATGAGGAACTGCGAAAGCAAAACATTTCACAGCTTTGAAGAGAAAAACTTGAGTGTTGCTGTTGACTGCGGAAGCTGAACATGACACCAAAGTCTGATTGGCTGTCAACATTCCCACACAGTCCCACTGTGAACAATAGCAGCGTCAAGCAAGACCTCAAAGGAGGAAACAGAGGGCAGGTAAACTAAAACCTCCACTTCTCTTCCAGTTCCACTGCAGCCGCTTTTTCTGTTTTGTTTGTATAAGCAGATGGAGACGTAAAGACTGAAGTATACAATTTCCAGGTTGCTCATGGGTGTCAGTAGGTAATATTTGTTAACAGACTGACTTATTGTTGAGCCGAATGAGCCGACAAAAGGAGGAGAAAATTCCTTACTTGTCCTTCCAGTAGAAGTGGCTCCACTGTCCACAGAGATCCTCTATTCCCGCTATGGTGTGTTCCATGAGCTGAGAGCAAAGTGAGATCTGTTAGCACTGTGTGCAGAAACATACTATCCACCACATTTAGACCAGTCGGAGTCGGTGTCGTACCCTGCAGTGAATCTCCACATTGATGGTGCTGAGGTTGCGGTTGGTTCTGCGGACGTTGATGAACTCAATCAGAGGTCGGATACTGATGCCCTGTGGAGAAAGCACAACGTTTAATATTACGTTAATACTAATAATATTGTAAGTGTCAGTAAGGTAAAGCTAGCCGGTGTCATAACTCTAAATCCAGCTCATGTTCCCTATTTGTGAGTGAACAATCAAACGTTTGGTGAATTCTGCTTCACAACAGACTGGAGATGTAGACAACAAACACGTTTAGGCTCAGTTACGTTTCACTTGACTTCACTATAATGGAAATCTGATCAGTTAGTTGTTGTAAAAAATGTTCAGTCACACCGTGTGAGCACTACAACATACAAACAGATACATCACACAATAAATATTCATTCTCATAGTAATATTCTTTCTCTAAGTGGAGATATTCTTTCTCTCTTCACATGGACAGTTGAAATGAAGAGACAGAATTTTCAGTTCCTAATTCAGTAAATTTGTTTTCAAACCAGGTTGTTAAGGTGGACAAAGACCTGCTTGTATATCCTTATGACACCTCAGACTGCTTTGACATTGAGCTGGAATGTAAGAACATTAAATTCAAAGCCCGCATGACCTACAGGATAATGAAATCAGTTCTGATCTGTTCTTTACATCATGTGGTGTCCTGGAGGTTCAAGGAAATCATGACACAACACAGGTCATCAATCTGTTTCAAGACCACTGATTCTGTCTGACTTCTGACTATTCTGCAGGATTCAATATGCACCACCTATCAGCCACAGCATTAAAACAACCCCTGATAGACAGAAGTAAATAACACTGATCATGTTCTCATAATGCAATGTTCTTCTTGGAAACCTTGGATCCTGCATTCATGACGGTGTTACATAGACACGTACGTAGACAGAAGAACCCTGCCACACTGCAAAAATTGCTCAGGAACAGCAAGAGGAACAAGACAAGGAGCTTAAGACTCTGCCTCTAAACTCCCCAGAAATCCATCCAATCAGCATCTCCAGAGGTCCCATGTTCACGCTCTTGAGACAAATAAGCTTTTCTGGTGGTGCAACTGAGTCCGACACAATATTAGGCAGCTGGTTTTAAGGTTGTGCCTGATTGTGTATAATCATACCAATTCAAGTTAGAATGACAAAATATTGTCAGTGATGCAAATATAACCCCACAGACAGTTTCTTACCTGAAGAAAAACAGTGAAGAGGATAATAGCAATAGTTGCTGTGACGAAGAGCTGCTTGCGACCAATGTTATCAGGAAGTGTAAAGGCCAAAGCGAATGAAATTGCCCCTCGCAGACCTCCGTAGGCCAGACCAAACTGATCTTTCAAGTTGAATGGGATGGTGCGGAAAGGGTTAATGATTTGAGTCAGCACCAAGACACCTGGAAGGATGGAGCAGAAAAATATGTTTAATTGTTATCAAATTTAAAGCTGCACTAATCAGTATTTTATATAAAAAATAAATCAAATGGCAAAGAGTAACTTGCAGAGGTGCACTTACAGTACTGAACCAACAGAGAATTATAATCCAACTTTGCTATTCTTCTCAACTAAAACAGGCTTTTTAGCGACTTGAAGTTCATTGCTTTGTTTTTGTGGCCTGCAGCTTCACTGATTTTGTGTCTAACAGCAGTAGGTAGATATTTTCTGCAAAAAAAGGCTCTAAAAGCCAAATGTGCACTGCCCTACACCGAACAGCTGATATATTAAGATGCTACACATAATTCACAGCTTAACTTAACATTTAGCTTTGTTTAGCCAGGACTCAGTAAAAACCAAAACAGAGCTAGCAGGTGAGTTGATGTTGGTGCTCAGCAGCTTCATATAGTGAAAATATGTCAATGTTGTGTTGACAGCTCATATAGTCAATGAATGCAAATTTAAAACGTGATTTATGATATCGCAGACGATCAGCTCACAGCTACAGAGGTGAACGGTTAACCCTCTGAACTCAAAAAACAACCGATGGGTTTGAAAGGCATGTTATCTTTTAAACCAAATTACATAATTCATCAGAGTCTGAAGCTGTAAAAACAGAAAGAATCCTCAGATTATTAAGTTCCCGATGGTCAGTAAACAAATGATGTGCTCCCTGTAGTTCCACCTGGAAAAAAAATCAGCCAAATCTAAGCTTAAAATCTTGATACCCCATTAAAATCCTGTTATTCTACATGTCTTTTTTTTTTTTTTAATGCTAGAAAAGTAGTGCTGGCAATAGCAGGATTATGTAAAAAATAAACAAATAAATAAAATAAAATAATTACAAAATTCTCCCCTCATTGGCTGAGTAGGTATTAGTGACTCAGCTACAACCAACAGTCACGATAAAAAAAAATTCAGGGACTATTCGGCTAAACAGGGTTGAACTGCTGGCTGTGTTCACACAGTGCAAATAGGAGACAAGTATGAAATAAATTTAAAATATAAGTAGTAAAATATCTATAGTATGTAGTCATCATTTTTTACAGTGTTGCTGCACTTGGAAAAAATGTTGAACATGTTGATTTAATTTTTGAAAAGTAATTACTTAGAGGAATTTCCTTTTTTCCCCCTTTTTTTGTGATTTATGGCATTCTAACTATGTTATACTGCACAAAAGACATATTTGAGTACTCCCTATCAGCCCATAGTGAGTAAAAATTGTGGCAGGAGCAAAGAAATGTCCAGAATCTGCTGGTTCTAAAGGTTAAGGTTAACCAGATACCCTCTGCCCTCTGCTTACCCAGACCTCTCCAAACAAAGGCAAACAGCAGCGTGAAGAGGATGTAGCCCCAGTTCCACTCGTGCTCTGTTGTTATGGTGACGACTCCCAGGAAGAAGAAGATGAGGGTCTCCGAGATGGAGCCGAGCATCTTGACAACATGTCGGATGGTCGTGCAGGAACGCTGGGAAACGTTTTCCTCCACATAGTACTTCATGGTGAGGGCACAGGTTACAATGCTGCAGGGAGCACATGAGCACAGCCAGTTTTTTTTTTTTTTTTTTTTTTGGTGCTGCGACTTAACTGTCTGCTACTCAAATATTTGAGCTCGTAAACAATTGTTTCAGTCTACTCACGCCATGATGGATGAGATGGCAAAGAGCTCGGCAACCAGATAAGCCAGATAGCTGTACATGAAAATGAACAGCGGCTCGATTTCCCGAACCTTGGAGGTGAATCTTGTGGTGAAGGCGGCCACAAAGCCGAACAGGATGCCGAAGCCCATCCCGCCGAGGCCGACCACGAAGAACCTCGCCACTCCCAGGAACACATCCACTGGCTCCACCACCGGCATTTCCGCCACGAAGCTGAACATGTTGTACAACACCTGGAAACGGACACACATACGTTGGCATGCATGCACACAAACCCCCACACATCCCAGTCAGAGGTCATGGGTGGTGTCAGCGGCTGTGGCCTGTAATGAGACTGTTCCAGATAAGAGTGATTTATTTAAATATTTACTCTGCACTGTTTGCAATTTGATAATCTCATTTCACCAAGCACCCTGAATGAGTCACAGAAAAGAAGCTGTTAGTAACCGGCTTTTTACTCCTGTTTTATTCTGCTGCTGAATAAAGTCGGCTTTTTTTTTTAAAATCTTGCTGCTGCTGATTGAGGAAACTAGACTGCACAAATCCACTGACATGAGCGTATAGCACTTTTAGGTTCATTTGTAGATAGTGGAATTTATGTGGAAAAACCCCAAGAAACACTGGATATCATTTAGCGTGACTCCTACACACACCATCATGCTGTAAATACGCACTGCTGCACTAAATCTGTAGCCAAAACTAGTCTCAAACATGTGTGCAATTTACTCCTATACATGGAGCTCAACTGATCAATGAGTAGACTTATTACAGATATACTGATATCAGTATGCTGTCTAAGATGAAAACTTATTTCTATTTGGCATAAGGCAGAAAATGATGCTTGGGGTAATTTAGAAATAGTATCATTGTGTAAATTGCACAGCAGGGTCCCTCCAAAACCATTACTTGCACTTTCAGCACTGTCTGCAGCACATGCAGCAGAGCTCATGAATTAGCTAAGCAGATAGTGGTGCGGAGTCTAGCGGTGTCGTCATGTCAGGTAGCTAACTAGTTTATGAAATACATCACCAGCGAGTTAATAGTCAATGACCCCGTTATTTTCCATTTTAAATATAACTCAAACATAAAGCTATGTGGATATATATTTATTTTTTCATAAAACATCAAATACATCAGCTGATATATCAAAATTATATTACACCGCTAAAATTGGTATCAGCATTAGCTTGAATAATCCAGCATCAGTTGGGCTCTGTCTGGATGAGTAACATTTTCTTTAAAAAAAACTGCAGTACCCAGCTGTTTTAAGACCTGATTTGTCATTTCTTTAAATATTAAAATATGTAACGCGTAATCTACAATGCATTCTTAGTTTTGGTTGTTTCCAGAAAATAGCAAAAAATATAGACTTTTACTCGGTTTATCCCTGACTAGTTTGATCATTTGGTCACACACACATATCATAGTGTGAGATGCAATTTGGTTCAAGGTAGTGCCTTTATGTTTGTTAGCAAATTTCTTCTCCACTGAAATGAAATCCTCCCTGCAAAAATCTCAACTAGGTCCTAAATCTACCAGGTTATTTTAACACTTAAAAGCTTAAACTTTTTTCTTTGCTCTGGGACAAGCTTGCCAAAGACAGGAAAGATCAAAACAAACAAACAGCCTTTTTACATCTATTTAAAGCAGATCTGTGTGTAGTGAGACAGTACCAGTTCCCAGTTTTAATTTGCATATCGACACCAGTTATACGTCGGATCAACCGGGCTCATTGAGTCAGAAGAACTTGGGTCACCTGAAACCCACTTGTTCATCAAATAATTGTTCTGTCACCATCTTTGGCTTCACTAGTGACGATGCTGGTCAACTCGTAAATCAGAAATATTTGTGCTTTTGTAAAAAACACAAAATCTCCTCGTGGGCTTTTCCAGTCTCCTGGATAGGTGTTTATCTTTACTCTCTGCTTTAGAGTCTTCCACTGCTGCGTACTAAACAAAAGGGTCACCACACAAATGCTAAGGGCAGGTTTATGCAGGCGGGCGGGACGGTTGGCGAGTTTGAGCACAATGGAAAGAGGACAAGGTGGGGGGATATTTGAGCACGAGTATGCGTTAACTCCTCCTCTAAAACCAAATGTAACAGTGACCTCAGAAACTGGTTTGACAGCATCTGAGCAAACAGACCCTGAATGGTACATGGCTCTGAGTCGTGGACACATTTGTTTGATGTCTCTGACATTCTCTAAGATTCATGTTTGTTATCTGTTCGGAAAATCCTGCCAGCGCACAGACGATTCTCTCCCACACATTATGTTCTCATACATGCATGTTAGTCCAGAGAGGAGAAATAACAAATCGTACAGTATCTGATGAAATCTGAGCTGAGCCTTTTGAGCGGGGAAGAATGGAAAAGCTTCAGACAACACAACAGTGGACATGTATTCATAGTTTTGACATTAAGAGGCTCAAACATAGCCTTAAATGGTAGGTGGGGTTCATAATGAATTAAGTGTCAATGATTGTGAGGTAAAGAGGAAAATGCTGAAATGCGTGCTCTTTATTGGACACGGTGACCAGCACGTTTGCTTTTAAGGTTGTTTGTATTTGGTTGTTTTATTCACATCTGTTGCATTTAGTTTTTATCTACTCTCTCCAAATATGAGGGCCAACCAGGCCTATGAGCGTGCCCGATATTTTATATTAGTCCCTGACATACACCCCACAATCCTGAACAACACAATTAACACACAAGATCGGTATGTAATGGCACCTGTCTCTTGTTTTCATGACAAATACTAGCCCTGAGGCATTCTCAGAAGGCCAGCATGTTGCAGCAAGTCTCAGCTCAGTGAAAAGAGCATTTTGAAGTGCAAATTCAAACACACTTTGGTAACCCCTGCCAGCGCCAACTCACCACAGTGACCGCATCATTGAAGAGGCATTCCCCAAACACCACGATGTAGAGCTGCTCGTTCACGCTCACGTCCTCAAACACATTGAGCACAGCCACGGGGTCCACGGCCGAGATGATGCTGGCAAACAGCAGGTTCTCCTGCAGGTTGATGTCCTGCACACCGAACGCCTCAATCTGGCATATGGCAAACAGAGACATGCCAATGCCGATGCTGTTCCACAGAGTCCCCACCACTGCGAACCACAGCACCTGCACAAACAGAGAGAAAATGTGAAATTGTTGTTGAATCAGAGCAGGATTTTTGCATTAATCAAGCAAACTGTGGCTGACTTTTAACAGACCGTGCCGATGTTCTCAAAGAAAGGCCTGGTGGGCATGAAGTAGCCAGAGTCGAGGACAATCGGAGGCAGCATGTAGAGGAAGAAGACATTGCTGGTGAGCACGGCGGGGGGCTCCTCGTGGACAGAGTGCATGATGGCACCCACTATCAGACCGATGCTGACCAGGAGGCACGACTCCGGCACCCAGATGGTGATCTTATGGTACACATGGAAACCTAAGAAAATAGAATCAGAAAGAGGTAAGGTAAAAAGGAACCTGCATGCATCATTCACACAAGGGCCACACCTATTAATGTCAATATAATCACCTAGAATTGAACATATGATATTGTTACTCACCAATTTTTGCGAATGAAGCCAGCAGCATCCACAGAGTGATCTCAAAGGGTATTTGTATTCTTGGGTAATCCATTGTAAACACTGGTAGATTTGCTTTTTCAGCGTCTGGATAGGCCTGGGGTACATTGTCAGGCTTAATAGGGGGAACAATCGTGACACCGCCGGTTGGTTTAGGAGGGATTTCTCCTCTGCAGCCATACAGGAGACTTAAAACTGTGCAAATAACAAGGAAAACTCCTGCGCGTCTGGAAATGCTTAAATCCATTGCGCACAAATATCACGGACAGTTATCCGAAACCGATGAATGTCCACGTCGTTAAGGTTCAATCACTCCATCCAACTTCACAAACAAGAGAGAAAAGAATCAACCGAAGTGAGAAGAAACTCTGCTTCTCTTCCAAAAAAATAAAAAAACTAGTTAATTTTGCGTCCTCATCCTTACTGAATTCTCCAAATGCGGTGCCATAACCCTCGGTGCACTTTAACAGCTGATCCGGATGAGTCTCCTTCAAACTGCGGCACAACTCACCTGTGGTTTACCTGCGGCGCGTCCGTGAGTTCCGATACTGGCTGGGCGCGGCCCCGAGCCCTGCTCTGATTGGGTGTCACCTGAGGCTGATAAAAAAGGGTGGGACAAGGTGTTTGTGCGCCATTCAGGGGCTGCTGTGGAGTTTCGGTGACATGAGCTACCAAACGACAGCAGTTTCAGCTCAGTTTTCATTTCCTTGAGTTGTCTAAACAACAGCTTTTGGCTGCTCTTATGTGTCTTGATATTTGATATTTATTTTTATTTTAGACAATAATCATACAAGCTGCTATCCTCTTATGCCTGCTGCAGTATTTTATTGTTTTACTAATTGATTTTACAAGTTTAATCCTGTCTTGATGTTCATGCATAACTTTTTGCTGCCTGACTGTTAACTTGTGCAACACTTTGGTCAGCTCAGGTTGTTTTAAATTGGATTGGATTACATGTGATAAACTTGTTTGTGAAAGGTTCATGGACAGTCTGGTCATGACAGAACACATAACAAAAATGTGGGATTTTTTATTTATTTTTCAATTTTTTTTAATGGCTCATGCTCATTTGAAAACGTTTCTTAAAGATTCAATCATGTAAATCCAATACTGATGACATCATTAAAAGTTAGTTATGCCAACAAGCAGATGTTTTTACAGCGTTACCGGACAGCTGGTTAAATCCGTTCTTCTCAGTATTCTTTTATTTTTAGAGTTGAAGCCCCATTACACCTAGAAACAGATGAAACGTGATATACAAAATGTATTTTTATTAATAAATCATTGAATACCTCTTGAGATACAAAATCTCCTGAAGAGAAAGCCGACTGTAGTCAAGACTCTACAATATTCACATGCAGCACTAAAAACACAAGACCTTATGAAACATGTTTTATTAACAGCATGAGAGAGGATAAATTGGGATGTTTTGGATGTGCACAGCAGGGGGACGCAGGAGACTCATATTCATGGATGCCCTGCGCATGTTTTGCCCCTCAGCCTCCATCACATCTGGATCTCCATGTGGAGTCGCAGCGCAGTGCAGCTGAAAATGATGGCAGGCTTCCAGAGCTTCTTTGCAGCAACATCAGGAGTTTTCTTCTCCTGTTTCATAGCACAAACTAAAAATAAAATGCCACTAGAAGAAGAGCAAACCAAAAGTGAAGCACTAACAACAACAACATGGACTTTCACTGCATGAACTCAAAGAAGTTTGTTTCCTTTGAACTTCACAGTAATAAAATGCACTCCTAGCCGGGAACTTTATCGACACTGATTGTGTGTCTAAATATTTGTTTGTGTATCTTTACCTTCTGATTTCTGTCTGTGATGACTGGCTGTGTGGTATGAAACTTCTACCATTAACCATTGGAGGCCCATCAAGGGGTTTCCAGATAAATCTGAGGTGCCACAGGAGGAACAGCACAGGAGGAAACATATTGCATATTGTGTAGCACATTGGCTACACAAATTGTTGCTTACATTTTCAGATTTTGCTTTAATCTATGGTTTTGTATGCACTATTGAATGTGCTTTCTTATTCAGGCATCTGAAAATGCTTCAGCTGAACACATTTTTCACTAACAGGTTGAAATAAACAGAACCTGGAGACAAACATGTGAACAATTGTAGTTATTATTTGTGTGTATGAGTTTGTGTTAATGGTTATTGTTTAGTTTTATTTTATTTTAAGTGGCTGCTCTGGTTTTATTTCTTTACAACACAGATTTGAAATAGCAGCCAAACATGTCATTCTATTATTTGGCTTTAGCTGGATACACATGTACAGCGGTCTGGACACGCCCTGTTTCAGTAGCTGTGAATGTTTTGTGTGCTCGTCTCTTTTACTGTTTCACTGCTCACAAACCCCAGACACAGGGAACACGCTGCTCCAGTGAATTGCACTGGCTCCACATTCATTACAGAATTGGATTTGATTACATTTTAAATCTAAATCTCTACATGGCCTGACTTGGCTTTCCATCTTGGAACATTTAACCCCTTATTCTACACTTAGACCTTCAGATCAGAGAATCTGTTAGAAGCTCTGCAATCTGAGTTTAAAACAACTTTAGTCCCAATGCTGTGGAATAAGCTTCCTCTAACAGTTAGAAAAGTTCATGTTTATGTCTTTTCTAAAGTTTGATTATTGTTTTTACCTGTATTTGATTGTCTACTTTTCATATTTTATTTTTTCTTTGTATTGTATTGTATGTGTTAAGATTTTGCAAATCAGACACAATCATTTATTTTAATAATATTATTTTAAATAAACTCCAAAAAGTAATTATTCCCACCACTTACTTAAATAAAATGGTTGCAAGATAAAGATTTAAATGTACGGATATAGATAAAACTTTGACGTTTCAAACAAATTGGCTTGACATAGTAGTTTGGTCATTGCATCATTAGTAATATTGAATGTCATTCAAACTTAATTTTGCTACTTTAAAAACAAGATCGCTAGCTCAAACGTGCAGTTCAAAAAATAACGTCAATAAGATTAATTTTTGTTGTTGAATTGATTAATTTCTTAAAAGCTACTGCATGATTAAAGATACAAAAAAGACACAAACTACTAAAAAAAATAAAATTGGAGCGACTTGATTTTTAAAATGTTTGGCATCTTGTGTTTGTAATTAAGGTAATTAAGTACATAGCACTTTTAAAAAAAAACAAACATTAAAAATAAAATAGTAGAAACAGTAGCTGGAACAACAAAACTTTTAAGAGTATTCAATGTAAAAAAAAAACTTGTGTTTATGTCATTAATCATAAAATAAGTTGCAATTGAGATTTTTTTTTATTGTAGTGGAAAAGCTAGTTTGTATGATTCAACGTGGTTTGTTGGTTGAATGTAATGTCAGTAGAAACTATCACAAAAAGATTGATTCAAACCGTTGCATGAATTATTTTAACCGAAACATTATTTTTTTAGAGTGTAATTTTATTTCAATCACTTTTACTTACTTTTTAATTAGTATGGCATTAATTCTAACATGACTTTTTTTTATTGACTCATAAATCTTGACTTCAAAATGACATGCAAAGTCAAAATTTAGATTTTACATCCCATAATTTGGATTTTCCTTGAGTTTTCTATTATTTTTTTAAATCTAACTTTTCATCTGTTTTTTTGGGGTTTTTTTTGTTTGTTTGTTTGTTTTTTTTAATTTTCCAGGTGAACCAATGCCTCCCTCCATCCTCCCTCCACCTCCAGCAGCATGTGTTTTTATCACAGACCGGGCCGGCGGCGCCCCCCTGCGGCCGGAGGAGGATCTGCACGCGGTGGAGGCTTTATTACGTCTGGATGTGTCAGAGGGAGTCAGGGCGAGTCTTGACTGCAGGCATCGTCGATGAAACCAGGATGCGCATCATTACGAGAAGAAACCATCGCTTCTTTTCTCCAAACGGTACGAGACTTTTTCAATTCAATCCTCATTTCACATCTGATCGTCTGTTTGTCGACGGACGTTTGTCCTCAGAGATGAATGCTGGCAGGAAAAAAAAAAAAAAAAAGCGACGAGCAGCTCCTCGCAGCAGGATCAGAATAAGACGTGTTTACAGCCACAGGAAGATCTCAAATGTCGGTGTTTAGTTTTTATTCGTGGCTCTTTTTCAAAATATATAAATTGTGTTGAACAAAGTGTCCAACCTGCAGCAGCATCACTGAAGGAGCATCAGCAGAAACCATGACGCAATCTTTGTTATTATCACTGAATCAACATTCATCCACACTTAACTGTAACGCTAATATGATTTCCTAACGTTGCCATAAATAGACTTGCACTGGAAACCTTTTGGCCTCTGTTTATTTCAGCCAATCTGGTGAAAACACACGCTGACACCCAGTTTTCTGCAGGTTTACTGAAGCCCAGTAGACTGTGGATGTTGGATTATGGAGAATATGTTTATAGATTTGTTGTTTTCTTTACCATCCAGTGCAGGATATGCTGCTTTGAGCAACGTGTCACGCCATTGCAGGCCTCCTGATGTTCCCAACAGAGCGTAAAGGATTAAATTTGATCTGTTGAATCACTGTTTTCATAACAGAGGGAGAGTTCTTTTGTGATCCACTTTTGTCTCCTCTTTTTTTATTTATTTTTTTTGCAGTGTGTTTTTGTGGAAGAAACTGAATCATTAGTTTCACTGAGGCATTTCTCCTGAGTAGAAGTCCTGATTGTTCCTCTTGGTACCAGAGTCCACTTAAATTCAACGTCATAATCAGAGGTTTCTTTCCCTCTGAAGAAGCTCTCCTTCGTGCCCCTCGTTTCTGTTTTACTGAGTGTGGGTAAATGTTCTCCTCCTGAGAGTAAAGTCGTTTGCATTTTCTCCTCCTCCTTCGATCAGTTGCATCAGAAAGCAGTTTATGACTCAGTCTGGGAGCTGGTTAACAGTGCATCCATGTGCCCATGGTTACGACAGACGTCTGTACGGCGAGTAGGCGACCGTGGATCAGGCTGAAGGGACAGCAGGTCGGCACAGAGCAGCTCCGGACTGAATCTGAATCAATACGCTGAAATGGAGAAGAACATCGGGGTTACAGGGGGACACGGGAAAGGGAGGTGGCTGGAGGAAAAAAAAGGAAAAGGACACGAATGATGACAGAGCAGAAGAAGAAGAAGAAGAAGCAGGGGGGGGGAACATGAGGCTGTTTGTGAGAGATTTAAAGGGATGAGTTAGAGAAGGACGTCTGAGAGAGAGGCACTGCAGTGCAGCCGGCGCTGACAGCATCTGCAGGGGTCCAGCTGTGAGCCGCCAGCCAGGCAAACTGGGTCACTCCTGTCTCCAGACCGACCGTCCCACAGGACTCAGGACCACCTGAACTTCGCTGCTACACGCCGTCGATGCCCCACATCTCAGTTTGTTCCTTACCTTAAAGCTATAAAACCAAAATAGGGTCCCGGGGTGATGTTTTAGTGTGTGATTGAAGTCAGAGGTCAGCAGCAGGCTGGCAGCTGTGAGCTGGTCAGGAT